CAAATCTTTGTGTATGACTGAAACAGGAAAAACACATGAAATACAAGGGTAGTATTTCATAAAGTTCGTGGAAAAATAGAATTAAAAGATAATATGAATCTTTCCATGAGTTTTGTTTCTTTGTTTCTGGCCACTGGCCAGTATCCATGAACTTTTTGAAGTACCCTCATATGTATATGAAAATGTCAAGATAAGTGTAATGAAAACATTTGGAAAAATGTCACAGCATTGTTTAGAAAATTGATCAAGAAATTAATATGGCTAAACAAAATCTCCAGAAATGCTTTCTTAATAAAAATTCATTAAAGTCTGCATATATTTGATTAGAATATTGGCTTAAGAGTAATACTGGTGTCAGAATAGTGGGTCATAATGGTCCTCCACCAAGATGAGCATAAATTAACTCAGAAATGTAGGCATTTTATATATTCCTTTATTATAGCTAGTTATGAGGATCAAAGCTGCTAGGGATCTAGGGAGAAGCAAGGAGAATTGGAACAGCTTTTCTTGAAAACATCTGAAGGAAAACAAGTGTTCTCTTTGGCCACAAAAACACACTTTAGCTAAAAACTATTTGACTTTAGATCAAAACTAAATGTTCCTGTATCTTGGTTTGCTTAAAATTTTCCTTTGTTCCCCAAACTAGTAAATCAGTAAGGTCTTTGTGTTGGGAGAGTTTATTTGACAAAAAGAATAGAGTAAAATTTATTTTGCCAGGTAGTGTGAACTCTGAGATTTTTATTTTTATTATTTATTTATTTATTTATTTATTTATTTTGGCTTTGGCCTGTATGAGGATCTGTACCCTTGATGAAATATTTTTTAATGTAAATTAATTACAATCTCATACTTGGCTGATTGCTCGAGTCTTTTAAAAACTGTTAAAATCGTCTTGAATACTGCTCAAAATCTCAGATGAGAGTACTGTTTAGTATTTATCTTCAAAAAATACAAAATGGAAATTATATTTTTAAGAAAACTTGTCTCAGGAAGTATAGTCTATATGTGAGGTAATAGGTGAGTTGGTTAATTTATCTACATGGTCAGCTCATGTGTATACAATGACTAGTATTTTTAATCTTACTCTTTTTTTATGTGTACCTGGAAGACATTCCCACTCTAAGTTGGGTTGTTTTTTGCTTGTTTGGAAGAGGAAGGAGTATGGTTGGGTGTGTAAATTTTGCATTCTACAACAGAACAGTTTTTTTATTGTCACTGCTGTTTTGGTGGTAGCTGGGAGCCAACATGTACGCTTCAATCCTGCACCAGAATTTTGACCTCTCTCTCCATGATCAAATAAACTGCCATCAGAGCTGCTCCCCAGGCTTTTATTTGGTATGGTATTAAATTTCTGAGGGTTGGAAATTGAACCAGATTGCTTGAATTTAGGCAATTTAAGGAAAATATGACACTTTGTTGACTTTTGGGGATTTTTTTTGGGGGGGGGGTGCTTTTGTGCTTGTCCCTATAGCTTTGTATAGTACATTTACTGCAGCTGTTTACTACCTGGTTACTGTAGCCACTCTTCTAAACAACTTTAAGAATTACTCAATTTTAAGAATCAGTTGACTTCCCTTTTACTAAATGTATCCATTTGTCTTAATGCAGTAGAAATCTAGTGATTAATTTGTCACCAGCTGTTGATTTAATACATAGAAATAATTATATCTGATTTCCCTTAAATTGATTAAAATAGTTATTTAAAGTTGATCAACAAATAGCTGAGTGGCAACTATGTAATTATGTAGATGAGATTGTCCTTAATTGAGAACTGTGGCAGTAAACACTGGGTGAAAGTACGTTATATGTTAGGATTGAGTTTGGTTTATTCAGCCATTTTGCTGGATGATGTTTTTTGTTTGCTTTTGCTGTCTCTTAAAATGAATTTAATAACTTAAAACTCACCTCGCCTTAAGGTTTCTTCTTGCTGCAGTACAGATATCTTAAATTAAATGTAAGATTACAGTACTTCAGTGAACCATTTTATTTATTAGAAAAGGGAATACTGGGCCAGCCCGTGGCTCACTCGGGAGAGTGTGGTGCTGCTAACACCAAGGCCACGGGTTCGGATCCCATATAGGGATGGCCGGTTGCTCACTGGGTGAGCGTGGTGCTGACAACACCAAGTCAAGGGTTAAGATCCCCTTACCGGTCATCTTTTTAAAAAAATAAAAATAAAAATAAAAAAAAGAAAAGAAAAGGGAATACTTATACTCTTAGGGTTATACCCATATTCATATCAGATGTCATGTTAAAAGAGAACTATTAAGATATTCAGATAACAACAGGCTAATGAAGGATTAACAATCTAGAGCATTTATAGGTTTACAGTATTGTTTGGCAGTGCTAGAACTGGATGTTTATGCATTAAGTAGATCATGTTTACTCTTAGACACAAAAAGTAGAATAAAGTATTTTAGAAATTATTTTGATCAGAGACAGGTTTTCTCCAGTGCAGTCTTGAGTTTTCTAACTGAAATGGTAGAGTTGCTAAATATGGAATTCTTCATCCAAGTGTGACATGATACCACATTGACTGGTGGTCTTGTTTTATGTGTGTGTGTGTATGAATATTCAACATTATACGTGTATAGAAATATATATTCAGCATTTACATCTTATAATTGATGTAAATGCAATGATTCATAATTTATAGCTAACTTTGAGATCGGACTCTTGATCCTCATAACAGCTGTCTGTACATATTATAGATCAGGTTTCTCAACCTCAGCCCTATTGATGTTTGGAGCTAGACAATTATTTGTGGAGAACTATTTTGTGCATTGTACGGTGTTCAGCAGCACTCCTGACCTCTACCCACTAGGTGCCAGGAGCATCACTCCCAGTTACAAGGAAAAATGCCTCCTGAAATTACCAAATATTCCCTGGAGGGCAAAATTGCCTTCATTGTGAACTGCTGCTGTAGATAAATCTACCTGGACTCAAGCGTGGCTAACTGTGGGCAGCAGTGTTCATTAAATGACCATTGCAGAGTTATGCATGTGTTTAGGGATAGGGGAAGGGAAGAAAAGAGAAATAGAAGAATGAGTAGCTGTGAAAGGCACTTTAGGATTGTTTTATAAAGTAATATATAAATACAAATAGAATTTAAGCTGTTAAATTAATGGAAATGATGCAGAATAAAGGCATGACTGAAATTTTTTAGAAACATTGGTGGATTGGCATACAAAAGTTTTTTGTGGGGTGTTGGAGAAGTTATGTAAAATATGATGTGTCTTTGTGTGGAGTATATGTTTATTTAAATTATATAACTGGCTTGAGGTACAGAAATCTATTTCCTGTCTTCTCTCAGGTACTTAAGTTAGGGGATGGTAAACAGATTTGTTTGGTTAAGAAAGAGGGAAGAAATGAAAAAATTAGCTAGAGAGAAAATGAAGATGGGTAGTAAGGGACCTCAAAGGTTTAGGGTTTAGATTTCTTTAAATAAAGTGATTCCAAGCCAGGGACATGAGGAAGACTATTTTAATTAACATAAAATATATTACTGGGAAGAGATTTAGAAGCTAAAATATAGGTAAGAGACATGGTTTTATAAAAAATCATACACATGCACCTTATTTATTTATTTATTTTGCTATGTGTATAGGCAGCTGGCTGATAACAAGGATTGAAACTGGACCTTGGTGCTATCAACACCACTCTCTGACCAACTAAGCTAACTGGCCACTACACATGCACCTTATTTATTTATTTATTTTGCTATGTGTATAGGCAGCTGGCTGATAACAATAATTGAAACTGGACCTTGGTGCTATCAACACCACTCTCTGACCAACTAAGCTAACTGGCCACCCCTGATTTATTTTTTGTTTGTGGATATATTTGACATAGTTTTGAATGAAGTTGCTAACTTTAGAAAGAAAGGCATGGATGTAAGATTATTTAGAATGAACAAGATTTAGTAATAGATTATAGAATCAAGACTAAATTTGAGCCTGTAGAACCTGAGTAATGAGAAAAAAGAAACAAAAATGAAAAAAAACAAAAACAGAAAGAACCAAGAACTTGAGTAATGATGGTCCTATGGTTTAATAAAGAGAAAATATGAAAAGTTATTTGTGGGGGAAGGGTTTTTTTTCTTTTTTAGCGGTTAGTTACACTGTATTTTAGAAGCAGATTCTCAAACTTGTAGAACGTAAGTTTATTTCAGTGGGTGGTACTTAGGTTCTTTGGTTGTTTCCTTATTATTAGAGTAGAAATCCTCTCTAGTCAATCTTTTCTCTGTCTATAGTTGGGTTTTTTTCCTTCCATCATAACACAAACGTGGTCAGGAAGGATAGGCTGAATTCGGAGTGGCTGCTTATCAGAAGAGAAAGTATGTACAAGAGAATCTTGACTCCTTAAAAATAGAAAGTTTGGATACTTCTTATTTTTCTGTGTTTCTGGTCCATACATTCCTACAGAATAGGTTGGTAACATCAGGCCTTAAAACTTGCTGTATACTTCTCAAGTAATTCGGACAGTTTGTTTATGAGGACTCTGAAATTAATCTTTTGCTCATAGTTGATTCATTTTCATTTTTTGCTTTTTAACTCCCCCCCATCAAAGTTAGTTTTTCTTTTTCTTTTTTTTTTTCCTTTTTGTCTTTTTTTGTGACCGGCAACGGATTGCAACCCTCAGTGTCGCGCCCGTACCAGACCAGGACCGGCAACGGGATCGCAACCCTCGGTGTTGCGCCCGCACCTCGCTCAGCCAGTGAGCGGCCGGTCTGTATGTGGGATCCGAACCCTCGGCGGGAGCGCTGCCGCGCTCCCAAGCGGCGCACTGTAGCAGTGTGCCACCGGGCCAGCCCTAGTTTTTCTTTTTTTAAACAAACCTAGCATAAAGCTGCAAAGACATTAAATATTGCTTTTAAAAATATAAACATAGTTCTTTGTTTAACTTGTTTCTTGATGGTAGCTATCTAAAGCTAATATTTTCATGTACTATAATAAATGACAACTTGTCTTTTTCCTTCTAGCACAACATCCTAAAATAAATCCATCAGAATGACTCCTTCTCAGGTTACCTTTGAAATAAAAGGGACTCTTTTACCAGGTAATGTAAAATTTTACTTTAAAACATTTTTTTTTTAAATTAAATGAGCATTTTTCTTATCTGGATTATCTTAAGTGTAGAATTGATATTAGAGTGTGCCTAATTTTTAGATGAAAATATCTTTAGGCCATGCTTGATATCAGAAATGTGTTCAGAACAAACTAAATAAATTAATAAAATAATAATAATAGAAAAAAAGCCTTTCCAAATCATGTCTTATTCTCATGTTTTCCAAGAAAGGTGTGAATTTAATTTTGCACTGGACAAAGACAGATGGGCTATGATTTTTAAGTAGCATGAAAATGAGGGAAATTTTGGTAGTGCAAGAAGTTGGTGTGGTAAGATATTTAGCTAAGATAACTTTGCTCCCTACTTGTGATTTTTTAGCCTCCTTGTATTTTTTCCTGTCTATTGAAGCACTGTGAAATAATTTTAGTGTATGGTAGCATGTCAAAACAGTATCATGCCTGGAATATGTACCTCCCTGCTTAATATGCTCTGGCTATACTGGCCTTCTTTCAGTTCCTCAAATCTACTGCATTCCTTCCTCCTTTTTCCTCTTTTGAGACTTTTTCAAATTATGTTTCCTCTGCCTAGACGCGTACACACCCCCGACCCCCACTTCATTTTCCACATTCTACTAGGATAGGGCTTCTGTGAAATTTTCTTGAGGGTTCTGGCCCTATTTTGTATCACCTCTTAGAGATTTTATAGCATTATTTGAGTAATTTTATTTGTGGACAGATCGTAAACTCTATGAAAATATAACCTTGTCTTTATGCTGAATTCCTGCACCTAGCACAGTGCCTGGTTCAGAGTAGGAGCATAAGTATGTTTTCAAAGATTAAATGAATGACTCACTCTGTATCTAACGTCATTGTTCTAGCAACCATCACAGCAATTGGCAGAGTACGTGTATGTCCAACTTCAAGTTCTTAGCCAAGATGATCTGGTACAGCTTCGCCTTTAGGCAGAAATTCTGCAGGTTGAAAATTGCTAGTCAGCTGATAGATCAGTTCCCTTGGGCCCGGTGTTCATTTGTAGTCCAAGTGCGGCCTCCTCTGTGGAGAGAAGACTGTGGAACTATGTTGTACCCTCTTAGGGAGTTGTAGGCAGGCAGTTTAAGCTAGAAGGAGCTGGCCATGCCAGGCCAATGTATTGACTAGAATTAGCCACAGAAGGGTCAGTTGGTTGAACAGAGCACTTATTCTCAGGGACTAGAGGGAAGGAGATAATAGTTGATGTGAATGTAGATGACTGTAAGTGGAAAAGAAGAGGTAGAGGTACAGGTAGAAGATTATGGGGGAGACCCCTCCCTCAACTCTCCTATCACCTTGATTTCCTCATGGCAGGAGGAAGTGTTCTTTGCTGAATGTGGAAAGAATGAGGAATGCAGAGAGGGGTGAAGTTGAAGAGGAATAAATGGAGAGGGGACAAGTAAAAAGAACATGTGGGGGTGCTGTTTGCAAATTCCTTTAGTTAGCATTCATGTTTTTATAATTATAAATGAGGGCCAATTAAAGAGTTAAAGAAAGAAGTTTGTTCTGGTAAAAAGTTTCCTTTTTTCCAGAAGCTATATTCCCAGGAAATCAGCAGAAAGATAAAGTAACACTGCAGGAGGGAATTGGTAAAATACAGAAGCACCTGAAGAAGGAAAGTAAACCACTAATTCCCCAAGTCTCATTTGGGGTGTGCATTCTTTCTGGAGCAAAAAGTAGCTTGCTGTTTTGTGTGGGGATGAGAAATAACTGACTCCATGAAAAAAATCTTAATGACACTTTCCTTTGTGAAGGAAGTATAATGGCCCAAATTGGTTGATTTTATTTTAATCCGTACTTTGGGAGCTAGGAGTTATAACATTCGCTATACATATGCATAGCAACATAATGATCTTGAGAATGAATATTTGTGCGTTGTATTTAGCTCCACTGTTTATCCTTTTTTTTAAATCAGGGAAGATAGTGATTCCTCAAAAGTGATACCTCAAAGTGTATTGATAAGAAGTGTTCAAATGAAATAACTCATTATTTTAATAAATAATAATAGATTTTTCACTATGAAAGGTTTTGTTTTGAGAGTTTTGTAATTATGTTGCTACTATCCCATTGGAAATGTTCTTGATATTTAGCTTGTTAATAGCTACTGTTTGAGTTCCTGGAAAATATTGATTAATATTTCTCTATAATACTTATATATATTTAGTGTTTGCCCCTTTAAATTGGAAGGTGCCTTGAAGGCAGGGACTGGTTTGATCACTTTGTATTCTTGGGTGCTAGTTACTGTTGACTCAATAAGTAGTTGAACAAATGAAGAAAAGTTCATCTCTATATGCCTTCCCCCTTTTCTCTGGCCTTGATTCTAGAGAGGTGAGTCAAGTAAATGTGTAGGTGCTAGTGTGGTACCTGGGCCCAGATCCATGCTTTTGGTAAGGCTCTTCCACCTCTGCCAAGAGAGACTCCACATCTGGTTGAACTAGTATAATTGACTGCCCTTTTCTTGCTGCCTAAAACTAAAATTTGAAACTCTCCTACTTATCCCACTGTAACTGATTGTTCTGTTTCCTTAGGAGAAGTTTTTGCAATATGTGGAAACTGTGAGGCCTTGGGAAACTGGAATCCTCAAAATGCTGTGGCTCTTCTTCCAGAGAATGAGACAGGTGAAAGGTAAGCTTGGAAATGTTACAGAATAATTGTGACATTCAGATTACAAACTTAGGGGCTTCTAAGATTGAGAAGTAGTGAATGAGAGAGGGGTCTCAGCACATTTTTCAAAGTTTACCTACCTTTGATTCTACTGAGCACATCTGAGGCTAGTTTCATATACTTTGGCTAAGTGTTTTGTGGATGAGATAGTACTGGAAAATTGCTATTTTTTTGTAGCAGCGATGGTAAATTTCAGCTCTCAGTTGGTAGAGTCTTCCTGGAGCCCTGTATTAGAAAGGACACTGAAGCTTATTAGGGGAAATGTAGGGGCACATGTGCCAAGCGTTTGCTTTAGAGCAGTTATTTGCAACAAGCCATATACATCTGAATGCCCTGTAAAGTTTTATCAAATACCATATGACCAGGCACTGTCCCATACCTATGAAGTCAGAATCTCCCAGGGTGGAGCCAGGACTACTGCATTCACCTGATTGTTGAAGTTAGGACCATAGGTGATAGTTGGTTGTGGATATTTCATTAGGAACCAGGATTGAGTCAGAGGAAGGATAATGTCCTAAAACCTGTCTTGGTGGAGTCAGGTGGGGGAGCAGTGTTAGCCATTTTGGATCATGGAATAACATTGGGAGTTGCTGTTTATTCACTAAACTACTCATGCTGAATTAATGTTTGTGTAGTGGCCTATATCATGGCTCTCAAAAACTTAAGTGTTCGCCTATATCATGGCTCTCAAAAACTTAAGTGTTCAACAGAGTCATGTGGAGGCTTGTTAAAATACACATTATTGGGCCAGCCTGTGGCTCACTCGCGAGAGTGTGGTGCTGATAACACCAAGGCCACAGGTTCAGATCCTATATAGGGATGGCCGGTTGGCTCACTGGCTGAGCATGGTGCTGACAACACCACGCCAAGGGTTGAGATCCCCTTACCAGTCATCTTTTTTTAAAAAAAATAAATAAAATGCACATTATTGGACCCCCATCCTCAGAGTTTCTAATTCAGTAGGTCTGGTGGGGCCGGATAATACACATTTCTAACGCTGAGCATGGTGCTGACAACACCACGCCAAGGGTTGAGATCCCCTTACCAGTCATCTTTTTAAAAAATAAATAAATAAATAAAATACACATTATTGGACCCCCATCCTCAGAGTTTCTAATTCAGTAGGTCTGGTGGGGCCGGATAATACACATTTCTAATAAGCTCCCAGCTAATACTCATGGTCCTGAAACCACACTTTGGATATCACTGGTCTATGATTTGAAGTGAAGTATCAGTATATAATTATGAATTGTAGTGAATTATTTCACCTTGAGGCAGCTATTGAATCAAAGCTTTAGTTTCTGTTAGAATAGCATAGTTCAGAGAAAGACATTGAGTTGAAACAAGATACAGATAACTGATTGCTTGGCTAAGGGAATAGCCAGAGTCTGGGCAGAAATGTTAGAACACGGATAGTCAGGAACATGAGTGTAACTGCCCAACATTCACCACTCACTTGCAACGCAAAGGCCTTGGACTCAAAGCCTCCTCGCAGAGAACACGGATAGTCAGGAACATGAGTGTAACTGCCCAACATTCACCACTCACTTGCAACGCTAAGGCCTTGGACTCAAAGCCTCCTCGCAGCCATGTACAAGATTCTGACTCTGGCTTCCACCTTTGTACTACTTTTATTTTCTGTTTGAAATACTTCTCTTTACTCTTGTGTGGCTGGTTTCTTCTCATCATTACAGCCTCAGCTCATCATTTAGGACAGTTCTTCATTATTGAGGCCTCCCCTCCAAAAGCCTCTTAAACTCCTGTTGTATCTTGTTTGGTTATTTATTTGTCTACCCACATAGGCGAGCAAGCTCCTTGAAGCAGGGGCTCTTTCTGTAATGTTTATCACTGTGTTCCAATCACCTGCTACAGACTAGGCCTGGAGTAAAGTTTTGTATAGGAATAAATGAGTGCTGTTGGTCACAAACCTTATTTGAGAGGTTTTGTGAATTAAGAGGTCTTTATGCATTTTAGTTTGATGTTGATGCTGTTTTTGTTTTTTTCTTTTCCTCACAGCATGTCATGGAAAGCAACCATTGTACTCAGTACAGGAGTATCAGTTCAGTACCGCTACTTCAAAGGGTACTTTTTAGAACCAAAGGTATGCTTTTTTTTTTAAACCTAGTTTCCAATTTCTTTAGGTCTTCTTTCAAAAGCAACTAACTTAAGTTTGAAAACATTAAAAGTAAAATGAGTTTGTTTTGGTCAAATAAGGAATCGAATTCTCAATTAATAACATTTTAGTACCAAAAGAAAGGAAGTAGCCACTTCAGAGGCAGATAGTTTCTGCCATGGAATTTTAAAAAGACATAGTAAGTATGTTCTGCAATATTCTTATCATGAAATTGGTTTTAATGGTAAATGTTCTTTATTTGTGTGCATTTTCTGTAACTTTCATAAACTAGTTAATACCAGTTGTAGAGGTTTTCCTTTTTGTTTTTTAATTCTTATGTGGTATAAATATATTTAGAGGAGTTTAAGTGAGTAATTGTTTCTAAAAATTATTTCTTAGCATCCTTCTCTTAGTGGCTGCATTAACTCCTATCAAAATTGAAGTATGATTTCTCTTAGATATTTTCAAAGATAGTAGGCCAGGATCTTTTCTGTAGGCTTTTGGAATATCTGATAGTTCTAAACCTAATTCTTCACAATGTTTCATTATTTGGGGATTTTTATATTTAGAAAAGAAAAAAGTTAATTCTTTTCCTGTTATTCTAAAGCTACTTATTTGCTGAAAGGATTCTTTTCCTTCAGTTTTTTTCTTTTAGCACCTGTGGGCTGCATGTGAACAAGGATTAGGGCAATATGGAAACAATTAGGAAACAATATGGATTAGATCTTTTAAAAAAATGTATTTTCTTTGGGGGACATTGAATACTTTTGTTACATGTGAAAAATACAAGCAGCCACTGTTACCTCATTCTCTTAGCCACCATTATAAAAAAGAAAACTGACGAACCCACTTCAGCTGTCTTTTGCACCTATTACGTTTCTTATTCAAAGAATATTTCGTGAATATTCAGTAATTGAACTTAAATTACATTATGGTTGATCATTGTGTTGGCTTTTCTTGACAATGGTCTCACTTTAATATTTAAGAAGAGGGCATCTGTTTATTTGGCATAGGGGCCATGCATCGTGGTGAATTTCTTCAGTATAAAGTGAACAATTGTGTATAGGTACACTGTCATAGTACTCATGACATTGAAAGCTTATCTGAGGATGCCTGGTATATGAAATTTAGCTTTGAACATGTGAAGTCTAAATTTTACTTGGAAAGGGGAGTTTGGACAAGAAAAATCATAATGAGTCCTTTGGGCATAGTTTTCTAAAGTTAGACTATTGTCAACACAGGTCAAATTAAGCCAACCTGTAGTATTTTTCCTCTTCATTGAAATTGTAACCAAAAACAGCAAATCAGTCCAAAATGCTTTTTCAAAAAATTGGCAAGAAGTCTGCTTAGAGTAAAAAACAAGTTTTTCCCCTTGTAATACTTGCAAAAGTTTACAGTATATGTTGGTGAGTGTGTTTCTTTAAGTAGGTGCTCTGTATCGTGTACACATGTACCGTGTGATGCAGGGGCTGCCATGGTAAGTATGTTTTTCGTGGAATAGAGTAAATAGCAACATAAAATCCCATGCATATGGCTAGAGTTCCCCACCCCCCACATACCAGCTTAAAGTGACACTTCTTTTCTTTTAAAAGTTGGTGGCGCTTTTTTAAATGAATCATTTTTAATAGACATTTTATGAAATTTTGTACGTTATGTATTGTCAGTGATAAAAGTAATGTGCGAGGAATCTGAAATTGTGAAATGATGTAAGTTATTGGAGTACATACTTTATGAATATAAAGAATGATAGGAAAGCAGAGTAATTATGAAAGTATTAAAAGGTTGAAATGAGAGATAAGATTAATTTTACTGGCCCAAAAGTTTTAGGAGGTAGTGTACAGGAAGTTGTAGAACGTAAGCTAAAAATCTCGTGATTTTGGATACATCACTTCTCCTTTAGACTTCAGCTTCCTGATCTATAAATGAAGGGTTTGAATTATCGATTTCTTTGGCCCCTTTCATTACTAAAATTTTATTGAGTAAATAAAATTTTACCATTCATATTTTTCTCCTCCATACTTTATTTTTTCTGGCATATTCTTTTTTAGTTTAGAAAATGAGTCCTGAAATCTGTTTTCTCAACTTTTCACAGCTGTGTGTTCTCTTACACTTTGTGAATTAGAATAAAGTGTTAATGTGTTGAATTTTTAAATAATTTTACAGGTTACAAGGCAAAATATTACCTTATTTAAACATAGCAAACAAAGGTGTAGTGAGTATTCCTGGAATGAAAATATTGTTATGAGTTTGCAGATTTAGTCTGAAGATAGTCCATTGATTTTAAGTCTTCACCAAAAATACTTTCACTTATTTATTTATTTATTTATTTATTTATTTATTTATTTATTTATTTATTTATTTATTCATTGATTGATTGATTGATTGTGGCTAGCGGGTACAGGGAGCCGAACAAAGATACTTTTTGAATTAACATGTAATTTAGACATTTCTTATCTATGTCCCCCCTCCTTTGCTTGTGGCTAGAATTAGGGGTGTTTCCTCATAGTGAAATATTAGCCAATTTTTAATTGTAGCTTTTGAAATTTTTTCTTCATTTTTGTGGAAATAGATCTTTATTTTTAAGTAACATATCTGTGTTTCTAACTTTTATAAGTGCCAACATTAACTCATAATTAGATTCATTACAAACTTTCTTATTTTGAACTTAATCTCCTTTGATTCTTGTTTAAATCCTTTAACAAAAGAATCAATCATCTGTGATAGGCAGATAATTTGTTCATTTTCAGACTAGCCTAGGTTGTCGTTTTGTATAGTGATTCCTTAATACAGTAAAATTCTTCTGGATGCTAAATACTTTCAGCTATTAACTTGAAATTTGAACCTTCTCAGAGATATCTGTCAGCTTAGCTTCCTTTGCTTCAGTCATGTCTAGGTGACCATTTTTCTCACTGATCTTACTAAAACTAGTGATATTTAAAACTATGGGTCTGGCCTCTGTATGACATCATAGGTAAAAGTTCCTCAGATCCTCCTTTATATGCAGGCTGTTTTCAAAATTGTGGAAAGAAAACAGTCAGTCAAAATTTTAAAAGCCCGTGATACCTCAAGCAGTGATTATACATGACTAGCTGATAATTCTGTTTGGTGGTTTGTTAAAAAAAATTTTTTTTTAAATGAAACAAAATCCCAATCTACATAATAAAATTGGATAATCTTTCGTTTATTATTGTCAGTGCTTAATGTAACTGAGTGATATCAGTAACTGTTTAAGAAAGCAATCAGTAAGACTTTTCTTCAGAGAAAAATTGGTTTTTATATTTTTGTTAATATGCATGTTCGCAAATATCTCTGCAATCATCTGATTTTATGTATGCTAAATTGTAAAATAACTCTACCAGTGCTGTTAATGGAATATAATCTTGGGCTGATACTGTTACTTTTTTCTCCAAAGATCCACCTTCTTCTTTACTTCAAAAAGCTTAAAATTATGGCATCCTTTTCCCTAATGGAACTTTTTCTAAAGTCTTAAAGAATGAGTTATTACAGTTAGCGTATTAGAAAGGATTGCATGTCATTACTGAGATTTTGTGTTTCCCATAGCTCAGGTTTTATTTATTTTTTTCTTCCAAAGAACTTAACTGGTCAACTGCCCTCCTCCACCCCCCCAAAAAAAGAAAAGAAAAAAAGGAACCTAAGTAAAACTAAAATTTAAGATTACCTTCTCACAAGTAATAAAGTAGTCATAACTATTTTCGAAATTGACTGTATTTTATTTTTTTATTATTTTGGGGTATTGGCAGCGGGCTGGCACAGGGATCCAAACCCTTGACCAATGTATTTTAAAACTCTAGGTTTTTTTTTTCCCCTCAATATTATAACACTTCATATACCAACCGATATGGTTTGGTAGTGTGAATGCTAATAATCACAATTATAAGTCATCTGTTGAATCAGCCCTTTGGATTACTCCTCAAATACTCTATTCAAGTCCAGATTGTTTTATGCTGTGGATAGTGGGTTTGTTACTAAAATAGATGAGTGGAGATGTTAATATTGTTACTAAAACAGGTTCCCTAGCAAATATTTAATCCACAGGACTCTTCTTACATGATGAAGTATAGATACTATGTCAACACTTTGTAGAGTTCATCTGACACCTAATTAAAACAAAGCAAATAAACCCTCTCTTTTTCTTTACCCACTTTTTATCCCTATCAACTTGTTTGTTTGTTTTGGGTTTTTGTTTTTTGTTGTTGTTGTTTTTTTTTGTTTGTTTGTTTGTTTGTTTTTGTGGTTGGCTGGTAAGGGGATCCAGACCCATGACCTTGATGTTACAACACCACGCTTTAAATCAACTGAGCTAACTGGCCAGCCCATACGTCAACATTTAAAATATGTTATATTCATGGCACCCTTTTCAACCCAATTTTGATTAGTAACGATTATAAGAATATAGGTCTATACCATCTTTGTAGAGAAGTTTTTTTGGAGGTGGGTCATTGGGGGGAGGGTGGACATGGGAGGGGTGGAGGAAGGGAACAGTTTATTTATTTTTATTTTTTTTTTTTTTTTTTAAAGATGACCGGTAAGGGGATCTTAACCCTTGACTTGGTGTTGTCAGCACCACGCTCAGCCAGTGAGCGAACCGGCCATCCCTATGTGGGATCCGAACCCGGGGCCTTGGTGTTATCAGCACCGCACTCTACCGAGTGAGCCACGGGCCGGCCGGGCCGGCCCGGAAGGGAACAGTTTAATTCTTTCTGAGTACTTAACGTTGTTAAGACACATCGTTTTTATTTTTAATGCATACATCTGTATTTTTCAAGGGTTAGAAAGTTTGATGTTTATACTACAAATCTGAAAAAAAGTTTCAGGAAAAAAGTAGTGAAAAACATCTAGCAGATGTAGGGTTAAATGTATCTCGTTTTTTAGTGTAATAGAAATGAAATTCACCATATTTTAAGATGAGCAGTTTCAGGTTATATTTTTTTTAAATTCTACTGAGTCTACCAATTTGTAAGTGAACCCTTACAGCAAGGAGGTATTCAGCTAGAGGAAAAAGCATTTTGTTTCAGGGTTAATGATTTGAATGAATATCTGATGCTATTTTAGTTTTTCAATTTCAAAAGTTTGCATACTTTAAAAAAGAATTTAACATTGTTAAGTGACAGAATTATCTTTTGTGTTTAATTACTTAATAATGTGCCTAATTTGTTACATACTTGTTTATCATTTGGCACATTTATTATAAAATATAATCAGTATTAAAATCCTGTAAATTGTATAGAAGAGTATTTAATGCCATCTAAAGATGTACACTATAGAGAGAGAAGCTTATGTATTCCAGGCTTTTTAAGATTATATTTAATATATGCTTAAAAAGGGTCCAAAGATTATACATGAAAAATGTTGATAGTAATTATCCCGAAATTGGTGATTTTTTAATTTTCTTTTTGCTTCTCTGTATTTAATTAAATTTCTTCAGAGAACATGTAAAGAAGAAAACAGTTGAAATACATTGTAAGATTGCAGTTTGAAAATTATTCTAAAATTGTGTATTTAAGGACTTTATTTTGGCACATAATTGTTTTTTCTTTTTCTTTTTCTTTTGGAACATAATTTTAATTAGTCAAGGGTTTTTTTAATTATTAAAGGAAAATTAGAATGCTTTTAAACTTCAGTCATTAAAGTATTCTCTGGGAATCTGGTGGTAGTTTATTCTTTTCAAATTGCTGTATATGTTGTCAACACATACAGCTTTATTTTTTAGTGAGAGAACTTGATCACAGAAGACAGTATTAGGAATTGTCACACTGTATGAATTTATAAACTGTAAGCTCTAAGGCATAAGAATAAAACTGGATGTTAGTTCTCATTTTTTCATACTTTTCTTCAAATTTACCCTACCGTGTGTCCTTTCTTTTAGTGTTCCCTGTGCTTTTTAGAAACATTAGTCACGGGCGGACCCCGTGGCTCACTTGGGAGAGTATGGCACTGGGAGTGCAGCAGCGCTGGGAGTGCCGAGGCCGCGGGTTCGGATCCTATATAGGGATGGCCGGTGCGCTCACTGGCTGAGCGCGGTGCGGGCGACACCAAGCCAAGGGTTCTGATCCCCTTACCGGTCACAAAAAAAAAAAATAGAAACATTAGTCACTATGATATGAGAAATCTGATGATGTACTTTCTTGTTTTCCAGTTACTATCCTTAAATAAGTATAATAAAGAACTTTATTATGCCCTTTAGTTCCTTGAGTAACTTGTGATAATTGATCTTAAAGTACTTGTTTCTCCTATTTCTACTATGGTAGACTTGTTCTGGCTTTTTCCAAACACTTGGAGATTTACTTAAACAGAGCAGGAGATTAATACCTCATTGACTGCTGACACACCAAGCAAAGTATATTTGGTGTTAACTTACAACAGAATTAATATCTGTTAAAAATGAAAGTTTCTTTGAAAAAAATTAAATATTGAAGGCAGATTTAAGAATGGGTTTAAGACAATTTTATGTGCCAGTTCATCTCATTTTTCTTTGTTTACTGCCTCACCCTCAATTTCTTCCAGCATTTCATCATGTTTTGTGACCTAGTACATTCCTTATTTTGGCAAATAATATTGATAATTAACAAGATGAATCTCTTGGTCTCATATTTAGTATAAGACATAGGCCACAAACATCTAATGGAGTCATGGGTAGAAAATAAGATATAAGAAATTATTGCAGACATTTAACTTTTAAATTGCAGACTATCGGTGGTCCATGTCAAGTCATAGTTCACAAGTGGGAGACTCATCTACAACCACGATCAATAACCCCTTTAGGTATGGGCATTAACTGCATCTGTTTGAGGCAAATGCATAAAGGTACTAATATGCTGCACAATGGCTTAGTGGGATTTAATAAATTTTTTTCTAAAGTTTAAAGTCAATGCATTTTCATACTACAGATTTTATTTAGCATTTCATGGATTTTACTTTCACAACTAAACTGTTCTTAATTGCCTTTCTTTATAAAAATTTTTAGAAATGCTTGCCTAGTTATTTTTATTCTCTTGGGTTAGATTAATTTATTATGAAATATTTATTTTCATTTGGAGTGATTAGAAAGTTTATAAGTAACATCATTCTTGACAGAATCCATGGCTATATCTGATTACTTGCTCAGGCTTAGCAAGTGTTTGAGGAGAGAATTAATCCAAAACAAAGGCTCTTAAATTTTTAACTCTGAGTAGTAAGAGTAATAGAATAAGTTATTCTATTCTGTTTTTTCTTAAACTAGTAAATACTTGAATAAACTTGTATGAATGAATTAAGATTTCTTTGTTGTAGTAGATATATATTCCTTCTAGTTAAATTCCCTGCTGGCTGTGCTAGAATTGATATTCAGAGAGTTGTGGGTTTTTTGGTTTTGGTTTTTAAATTTTATTTAGTTTTTTGGTGCCTGAAAATGGCATTTGTCTTCATACAAGTATATTTGAATTTCTTTGTTTATATTGAAAATAGAATTTGTAGTTTATTTCACATACATTAAATTACTCACATGTATTCATCTATAAATTGACTTAGTGATGAGAAATGTATCTTTCAGTTTCTAGGTGAGGTTAAAATATAAAGATAATAACTGGTTTGCTGGCTGGCCCATTGGCTCAGTTGGTTAGAGCATGGTGTTACAACACCAATGTCAAAGGGTACTGGCCAGCCACCAAAAACAACAACAACAGCAACAACAACAATTGGCTTGCTAGTTTACTGGCTTAGATTAGAAAGTAGTGGTAGTTTCTGCTTTATCTTGTAGCAAGGACACACCTCATTTAAACAGATGTCTCATTCCATCCTCTTTATTGGATTTTCTTTTTACATGTTTTAATACATTTTTGGTAGTGTATTTGGAATTTTTATGATAGTATACTTAGAATTATTATAGTCCCATACTGAGGTTGGAACTTACTAGGTATTAAACATTTAAAAAATAATTTGTATTTTAAAGCATCTTGCAGTTTAATATATTTTCTTGTTGTGAGAAGTGAGATGATTTTGTTTCTGTGTTTTAGAAAGAAGTTTATTTTATACTTTTGGGAAATGTAACTTTTAAACTCAAAAGCTGTGTGAATTCTACCAGAGGATCAATATTTATTAGGAATTAACACATTTATTTTGAGAAATATTTCAGACATGTTTAAAGTATACTGGGAAGGGAAATAGGCACGGGAAATAATTAGTATTTTACTCAGAGGGATGGGGCTCTACAGCTTTTCTCATTTAGTTGAAATTTCTGTTAGGAAAAGGGATGTGCTAGTTCTTATACTTTTTTTGGTAGTTCCTCACAGCACTGTATATACAGGTAAGTTTATGCTGTTTGTAAAGCTTTTAGCTGGGTATAGAGAGTAGTTGGGATTTGAGGAGAATTACATTTTAGACAAGTTCAGATTATGCACTATATAAGAATAAGCATTTTAATTGTGCCAAAACCTTCGGTTTGAAAAATCAAGGAGTTATCACTGTCCAGCAGCCTGTTAGTCTCGTACATTGGTGAGTGTAAAGTTCATCCCAGTGCCTCTAGAGCACCTCTCTGAGGAGTTTTCTTTCTCTTCCTTATAATATCATGAATGATCACCAAAGTATGTAAGAACTGTTACTATTTGCCAGTCTCCTTAAAAGGGAATTCTTTATTGAGGGCTACAATAAATATGCTTATTCACTTCGGGCTGCTTAAAGTTATAGATTTAATATTTTAAACAATCCTTAAGGTGGGTAATTTCTCAATTGTTTATTCTGTATACTTATGAATTTTAACTAGGTTTTCTATTTTCCTTAAATTCTAGAAAGTGAAATTATTATTGATGATGGACAATTTGGAATCCACAGTAAGTGAGACTGAGTTTTGCATATGTTTACTGTTGATTGAGATGTTACTTTACATTTCATTGGAACTGTATAGAACAGGGAAATAGGACATAGTATAGTTTTGAAACAGACTAGATCTAAGAAACAAATACATTCTGTTAAAAAGTAGTTTCCAATAAAATTCTTATGCTTTAAAATTTTATCCTTTTGGTTTTTATTTGACTGATGTTTTCAGTTATGTGAGTTTATATAATTAATTTGAAAGTAGTATATTCTTAACTGTTTATATCATCTACTTTAACACTATTGTGTTTGAAAATGATATTAATGATTCTAAACATTTAAAGCATGAAATGTTATTCTTAGGCTAAGTTTGTGCATTTTGTGTGTTCGTATATACATTAGTAAAATCCAGACTAACCATAATGTTCTAGTAATTCTGTCTGAGTCTTTAAAAATTAATTTACAGTAGAATAGAAATTGCTTTAAATTCTGGATATGTTGAAAATATTATGCATTCATATACTTTTCTGCTTCAGTAAAAACTATCCTGGAAGTTCAAATTTTCTTCTGTGACTGGAATTCCATCAGTGTATCAGGGTTATTGTGCTAAATTGCATTTTCATTTTAGATACTACACTGTAGGAGTCAAAAGGTGGAAAGCCGGTGGGCGGAATGTGTGCTTGTACTGACTGAACCAGAGATAAATTGCTGATAACCAATTTGCTTTCCTGTAGGCACAGGAAAGAACAGGGCCTGAATGTTTTGGTTGTGGTTTTACTATGTACATATGTTTATACACATTAGAAATGTACATGCTCTGGGAGTGTTTGGATAAGAATTTAACTTCTTATCCTTGAAAAGAAGGGATTTTTATTAGGGATTATTTATGTTATATTAGAAGATAGTCAAAAATACTTGAATAGTTTTAGTGCTAAGTGTTTTAGAGTCTTGTCCTCTTTAAAAAAGATAATATTTGTGCTACATGTTTTAGAGAGCTTTCTTTATGGACAAATAGTTTTCTCATTTCTTCGGTTGTAATGCATGACATTATGTCTCTCTATTACATGTTAATTACTGTTTATGATTATAAAACATAGGATTTCTTTCCTTATTTTTGTTACTGCTGTCATCCTAAATTCAGCTTTAGTTAGCTTTGAGGATGGAAAGCCAGCTCTTCGACTTTGTCCATTTCTGAAAATAATGTTTAAAATTTGAAAATTATTAAGCATTAAGTTATACTTAAGGAGATAACTTTCTTGATTTCTTTTCCCCCATTGATGAAAAAACTTAGGTCCAAAACAGTTGACAGCTTATGGTATTTATGAAAATTTTATTACCTATGTTAGTAGATGACTTCAAGTTAATGTTAACGCAGTGTTATCACAGTCATGCAGTTTATTTATGGCAGAATATATAAATGTGAAATTACAGAATTAACTCTGTTTGTTCTTACTTTCTCACATCTCAAAAACTCAGCACTGCCAGCGTAACTAGTTTCAGCTGAATCTCTTATATGAAGCATTGAAGTGTAATAGTGATCCCCAATAGAACAATTGCTAGGTTAGAAGCTATCTTGAAACATGTGCTCTTCCTGAAATAGATTTGCATTATTCCAATAATGGATTCAATAAGAATATTTTAATTCACTTAAATTGTTAAAGCATAGCTAATTGTTAATATTTATTTAATTTTTTCCTCCTACTTCATATAAAAGTTCTTTTTCAACTACAAATTTAAGACTACCTGTATATTTGCTTTGGGGAGGTGGGGGAGTACCAGTGTTATATAAACTCAATGTGTTAAAATGTGAGTGTGAACTAGCGTTGTCAATGTGTATTGGTAATAACTGGGTTGTTTCAAAAAATATGTATTATAATTACTGTTCTTTGTATTTACTCTACCAGATGGTGTTGAAACTCTTGATTCTGGATGGCTGACATGTCAGGCTGAAATAAGATTACGTTTGCATTATTCTGAGAAACCTCCTGTGTCGATAACCAAGAAAAAATTTAAAAAATCTAGATTTAGGTATGAACATGTGTATTTGCTACTTCAGCCATTGATTTTCCCTAGTACTACACATTTCTGTCTCCCTTGGTTTTAGTCTTTAAGTATATAAACTAAGAATATAACACACTTAACGATAATGTCACATCCTCTATTGACTGCAGGGCTTTGTAGTAGTGAACTGCTTCCTCCCTTCATGTTGCTACTACTGCATACTTATGTTAGTCTTAGCCTCAAAATTCAGAACCAGAAAAAGTTGTTTTTATATAGATAAGTGGTTTCTAAGCTTGTATATTTTTGTAGTTTTCTATTATTTAAAATTTCCTACTATAGCAATAAATAGTTGCTTTAAAATTGATTTCATGAAATTATTTTGTGCTAAATGAAAGGAGAGAGGCATAAACAGAGAAAAGTAATTGTTGAAAATTTTTTCAGTGTTCTAAATTTTACTGTGGTTTGAGAATGAAAAATTTTCCATGAAGAAAGCTAGCAGTTATCATAGCAGTGCCAAATTAGTTTCTTTTAAGGCCTATATCAATTTTACAGACACATGTCAAGCTTTGTGTAAATGGTTAAATAGTACATAATTTTATTTTTCTGTAATGTCATTGTAAATAACTTTGAGTGAGTTACTTCTCAAAGACCTAGGCAGCCCTATCCAAAATTCAAAATAATTTTTGTGACATTGGGACCGAGTTCTAAATCTTGATATGTAACACAGCCTTTTCTGACAAAATGTCAGGGCCATTTTTAGTAACTAAAGTGATTGATAATACAGTGCTTATTATCTTTGTAGTAAAATTCACAGTAATATTGCAGTTTGTAAATACCTAAGTGTTTTGCCATAACTCCTTAAATATCATAGTACTTACATATTCCAGTCATAAAATAGGTAAGGGAAAGGCTGAATGGCACTTCACAGTCTTTTGCGGTTGTGGTTATGATAGTGAGTAGAGGGTTTTGGGTGTACCTTGTCCCTGTGCCTTAGCTTTTCTAGGCCTCTGCTTTGCTTCTGAAAAACCAAGGTAATTGGACCACATGGTTGATCTGCAAGATTCATTTGATCTCAAAGATTCTCTAAGTACTTAATTATACATAATTGAATATTTTATTTACATGCTATTTTAAAGGAAGCACATAAATTTTGTTACAGCTGTAAATTATCTTCTTAGAATAGGACCTCAAAATAAAGATAACAGTAGAAGATGGTTGGTTGGCTTATTAGGATTTTTTTCCTTGGTTGCAGTCAAGAAATTAATAAGTAGTTAATGGTTGGGGATCTGATTGGAATGCAAATGAGTACTGAGTCCTATACTTTTCTTGTTTATATAGAAATCACTTTGAGTGTCTGTATATATTATTGTGTTGCTTTGGCTTAAGTCAAATTGAAATATTTTCTCATAACCATACTTGGGCTCTACAAATTAAATGACTTGATTCCTATTGGAATAATTGTGCGTAGCTAGAAATTGGTGTTTGATCTGACCATCTTTTTTCCCCAAATTCATATTTGTGATAAACTAAGCCTCACGGGGTAGGAAATAAGTTTATTTGTAAGGACACCAGGACTTAAAAATACTAGCAACATCTTATGCATTTAAAATAAAGCACTTGGGCCAGCCCGTGGCTCACTCAGGAGAGTGTGGTACTGATAACACCAAAGCCACAGGTTTGGATCCCATATAGGGATGGCCGGTTAGCTCACTGGGTGAGCGTGGTGCTGACAACACCAAGTCAAGGGTTAAGATCCCCTTACCGGTCATCTTTTAGGAAAAAAAAAACTGGACATGCATCTCTTTAAACACATTTCTCTTTTTGATCAACTCCACCAGTAAGTGGAAAGTAATTGCACTCTTTGTGGTAGACTTTAACATTTGTATAGCTGTTTGAAGGAAACCTTTAACATAAATAAAATGTACTAACTTCTTTCATAGATCCTATCCCTTTCAACTTTTTTTATGTATAAAATGTTGGCAGAATAGCCATTTTTGCCTTTCGTGCCTCACTTGCCTGTTCATTTCTGTCTGTTTGCAGTCTCTGTTCATATGTCCTGGTAGGGAATGTTTGCTCCTTCAGGCTTCCTAGCAAAATCAGTTATACAGAACCATTCCTAAGAGTTTGGTTTATGTGAAGACTTGATTTTTGTTTTAGGTTATTAAAATGCTACTTTTGATTTTTCTTTTTTTTTTTTTTTTTTTAAAGATGACCGGTAAGGGGATCTTAACCCTTGACTTGGTGTTGTCAGCACCACGCTCAGCCAGTGAGCGAACCGGCCACCCATATATGGGATCCGAACCCGGGGCCTTGGTGTTATCAGCACCGCACTCTCCCAAGTGAGCCACGGGCCGGCCCCTACTTTTGATTTTATAGTGTGATTATAAAACAGTATTACTGATGGAGTAATCTGTATAGCCAACCCCTCAGGGAGACCACCCGGGGCCTTGGTGTTATCAGCACCGCACTCTCCCAAGTGAGCCACGGGCCGGCCCCTACGTTTGATTTTATAGTGTGATTATAAAACAGTATTACTGATGGAGTAATCTGTATAGCCAACCCCTCAGGGAGATTGCAGAATTATGTGGTTATAAGACAATCCTCAGCAGTGGTTGGGGGAAGGAGGTCATACAGAGAGAGCAGGCCACACTAATACAATTCCATTATTTGTGTTATAAATCAGATCCCATTTAAATCTAGAATGAAATTTTTTTGTAGTTCAACTGTTACTCTCTACAGTAACATTACTCCCGACTTTAATAGTATTAAAATTGTTTAATCTGTATACATTTCAGCTGGTACAAGACATTCCAGAATTGAGTTTACTTTCTGGTATTACGAGTGCTGTGTGTAAATAATTGCTTCTTATTGGAGTAGACTAGTCTTTGTGGCCCTATGGCTTGGGTAACCGGTTTTTGTTTTTGTTACTGTGAAGCCTGTAAGAGTTTTAGAGTCTTGGCTTTTTTGTTTGTTTTATTAAAAAAGGATATACATGTAAATACATACACACATAAAAGTTCATGTACACATAAATATATATTATATATGTTTAATTATTTATTCATTTTTAAATTTTTATTTATTTTTAGTCAGCTGGCCAGTACAGGGATCTGAATCCTTGACCCGTGGTGTTATAACACCATACTCTAACCAACTGAGCTAACCAGTCAGCCCTAGTTTAACACGATATTTTTCTTTAGTTGTATACTTTTCACAAAGTGTCTGGACTTTCACTGTGGTAGGGTAGAAAAATGGGAAAATCTTCAATTTAAAGCTCAAATTTTAACAGTCTTTTAATGCACACTAACAGAATATGGCTCAACTTTTTGCTTGTAAAGTATACATTTGTGAGACCTCTCAAAAGGAGTTCTTATTGTTATTTGAAGGTTAAGAAATGCAGATAACCAGTAATAAATAGGATAATAGTAAATACTTCTTTATATTCATTAAAAAAAACAAACCCAAAACTTAACCAAAGAATTAGTTAAAACAACCTTAGTAGGCATAATGGGCATTTATCCCACTTGAATGCTTTGCAGAAATATGCAGGCACTTTTAAAAGTTCATGGAAAGATTCGTATTACTTTTTTTTTTTTTTGAACAGTTGGCTTCTTATGATTGGCTGAGATAGTATTATCTTTTAATTTTTTTCCACGAACTTTTTAAAGGACCCTTATATATGTAGATAAAAACATCATTATTTTATAAAACACACCTAATGTCTTAACCTGTAGTATGTGTAGTCCTTGTATATATATATATTTTTTTTTTTTATTTGAAAATTTAGCTTATTTAGCGAGTACTTTTAAATTTAGCATTTAGGTAATGTTTGTATGAGTTTTTCTTCCGTGCCACTTTTTGCTTTTCATTATTTTTTCCTTTTGTGTAGGGTAAAGCTGACGCTAGAGGGTCTGGAGGAAGATGACGATGATAGGGTCTCTCCGACCATTCTTCACAAAATGTCCAATAGCCTGGAGATAGCCTTAATAAGCGACCATGAATTCAAGTGCAGGCATTCACAGCCAGAGTGTGGCTATGGCTTACAGCCTGATCGTTGGACAGAGTACAGTATACAGACAATGGAACCAGATAACCTGGAACTAATCTTTGATTTTTTTGAGGTGAGTAGTTATTTCAGTGAGGGGGTTGAGAAAGAATGCAAGCATGAGCTTATTTTTACAAATGTTCTGATTTTTATTTTAATTTGTGTAGCACATGATTCATAAAACTTTTTAGATGTTTGCTCCTCTGTACATTTTAGCAGGCTTAAAAAACTTGAAGTTGACAGACTCAAGTTACTGTTAAGTTTCTCTATATAATTAAGAGAACTTCAACAGAATTTGTTTCAAATATAGACCAGATTTCTTGATGTCTGTGTCTATCAAACAATCTAAATACCAATGAATTGTACTCAAAAGAGCCTCCAAGGAGGGCAGACAAGCTGTCCACCTTTGGGTGGGCAACCTGATGTAACTAGCATGACTGAGTCCTCCCCATGATGGAATTCTGTCGTCTATTGAGGCATGCTTTATTATGAGGATTTATTGTGACAGTGGATTTGTTTTGCAGTTTTATTTGGCATTATAAATGTGTACTAAAAATAGTTATAAAACTTGTGCCAGGCAATAAATACATTGAACTTTCAAAAGAAGAGAACAGAACTAAGGTTACCAGAGGTGGGAAAGGGGGAAGGGGAGGGAGGGTAAGGGAAGAATTGGTAAAGAACCATGAAAAAACTACTACATTGTATAATTTTGAGTATACTAATTATCCTGATTTGAGCATCACACGTTACACATAGGCATTGATATTCAACTCTGTACCCCGCAGATATGTACAATCAACTATGTTTCAATAAAAGTAATTAATTAATTTTTAAAAATTTATGCCAGGTTGTTCAGAATCTGTGCTGCCAACTTGCCAGAGCTACTTGTGATATTTGCACTGGAGCTCGTTAGCTCACGGGCTGTTCACATGCTCCCCACAGATAATACTTAGTACCTCCTCAAAGGTTCATACTGTGGTGTGTACTGGTTTCCTTAGCCCCTAGCTCTTTTGCCACCTCCATTCCCATTTCAACCAGCTTAGAGTTTAAATCTCTGAGGATAGGGAACATGCCTTGACCAGCAATAGCACCTGGCCACAGTTTCTTGAGACCACCTTAGCCCCTAGCTCTTTTGCCACCTCCATTCCCATTTCAACCAGCTTAGAGTTTAAATCTTTGAGGATAGGGAACATGCCTTGACCAGCAATAGCACCTGGCCACAGTTTCTTGAGACCAACAGAATTCAGGGTGGATTTAAACCTACTGGGTGAACTTTTTATACATAATTCAGTTTATTGTAATCATTGAATTATTTAATCTGATAATTCCTTTAGACAGCTTTGTGAGTGACTTTTTGGCTACTTTGCATTATATGGAATTTAAAGTATTTCCTCTAAGATTACATTTTTCAAAAACTAGATCTTACCTAAGCATAAGATCTGTGAGACTTCATTATAAAAATATGAAGTTTTTGGTTGAACATTTCCTTGTTGCTTAAGGACCTACCTTTTAATAATCTCTTGAATATCCTAACTTCCTCTTTCATTTGGTTAGCATTTTTGGAAATACTGCTTTGTTCGTCGACTAGGCTGATAGTATATCCAATGTAATGTCTTTTTTGTTTGGTTGGTTTTTGTTTTGTTTTGTATTTTTTCTGGGTTTTTTGTTTGTTTGTTTTTGTTATTTCCACTCAGTGTAATATCAAAGTGCATATTTGCTTTTCTAGAGAGTTGCTATCCCAATAGCTACTTGTGTAGATACTTTTTTTGTGTGTGTGTGTGGCTGGACAGTACAGGGATCTGAACTCTTGACCTGGGTGTAATAACACCACACTCTAACCAAGTGAGCTAACCGGCCAGCCCTAGACACATTTTTAGAGTATGTTAAAAATTCACTACAAATATATCTTAGTCTTTCCATATAAAAATGCTTAGAAATTTTCAGGCAGTGCTTTAAGTTCACCTAATGCATGTTAGAGAATCAGAAGTGCACATCAGCCGAATTATGATTAATAAAGTAATATATCAAAATCTTAAAATATTTACATTCTAAAAGAAAATGTGTCATTTACTATAAAGAAGCCATCTAAATTACCTGAATATAAGCTTGATTGTATTTCTTTCTCTTCAGTCCTCCTCCAAAGACTCTGAGTTGACCTTAAGGGAGGTTACTATAAAGAAGCCATCTAAATTACCTGAATATAAGCTTGATTGTATTTCTTTCTCTTCAAAAGAAAGTCCTCCTCCAAAGACTCTGAGTTGACCTTAAGGGAGGTTTTTTTTTTTTAATCGTTAAATTGATTGAAGTTTAAGAATTTGGATTATTCTAAACCTCATCTTTTCAGGAAGATCTCAGTGAACATGTAGTTCAGGGTGATGCCTTTCCTGGACATGTGGGTACAGCATGCCTCTTATCATCCACCATTGCTGAGAGTGGAAAGAGTGCTGGAATCCTTACTCTTCCCATCATGAGCAGAAATTCCAGGAAAACAATAGGCAAAGTGAGAGGTAAGTTTGGAAAAGCAGGGGGCTCTTGACACAAATAAGCTAAGGTTAAGTTAGAATTTTAATTAACTTCAAACTGAGTATTTGAGAATGGTAAAGATAAAATTAATGATTTGCTTTAGATTATTAACTAATGCAATAACAGTTTAAGGAACATATTTATTAAATTTCGTAGAAGCTTTACTTTGAATCAATTTTTGACTTGATTTTTTTATTTGATAGAGATTGATAAAGCTGGTGTAAGTGGTATTTAACTGTAGTTGAGCTCTAATTACCCTTTTAATCATCTTTATCTTTGTCACTCCCTTTGTTTTTTTCCTATGGAAGTTGACTATATAATTATTAAGCCATTACCAGGATACAATTGTGACATGAAATCTTCATTTTCCAAGTATTGGAAGCCAAGAATACCATTGGATGTTGGACATCGAGGTGCAGGAAACTCTACAACAACTGCCAAGTAGGTTGAATATTTGAATAGGATTAGCATTTAGTAGCTCATGTTTGATAAGGTTACATTGTTTTGACACACTGAAGGTTAAATGATGCTTTTATTATTACCCTGGGAATTAAATGTAATTTAGTAATTGGGGTTACCATCTCAAAATAATTAAAGACCAACTTTCTCCTAAGATTGTGGTTAATCTTTTTTAATTTAATATTTTACTGAATTGAAAATGAGAAAGACATTACAAGTAGAAAGGCAGGAGAGAAAGCTTGATGTGGAAAGCTTTGGTGGCATCATTGTGTCTGTTTAGTCCTTTTTGCCCTCTCTGGGTCTCAGTTTCTTCTGGAAAGTTTGGGTAAGATTATCCCTACTATTCCTTTCAGCCCAGCATCCATGAGTCTGAGTGTAAATAAACTGAGGAAATACTAGTTCAGCCTAGACCTCAAGAGAAAGATGCCTTGTCTTAGATTCCAGCTAGGTACAGTTGTTTTTCCCTTCCAGTTCTGTAAAGTTGTTTAATTACCAGTGCTGTAGCTCATTGCAGCAGATTTTCTACTGTGAATTTTAATCACACCCCATTTTATTTTAAAGAGTTGCTGTGATAGCTTTGGGATCTGTCAAATTCTATAGCACAAATCAATTACCATTTAAGGGAGAAGCACTCTCAGTCCCCATCTTTCTAAACAGTAAAGTTTCTTCCTTTCTGTTCTTTTTCTTAATATAGATTTCATACTCCTACCCTGTTGGTGTGTCAGTCTTTTCCCATTCCCCTCACAGTCTGTCAGTATATATACAGTGTTAAGTCACCTGGAGGCTTCATTCCAAAGAGCAAGTTTCTATGTCTCTATTTCTTCATGCCATTGAAAAAGATTATTTTCCTTAATGGTCACCTCATTTGTCTCCATAAGAAGTCTGTAGTACAGGGGAGGTATGTCTTGTGGTGTAGGATATGTCCATATTCAGCTTGTAAATACCTATTACTGACAGAGCTTACATTTATGGAATAAATGCACAAACCAGGCAAATGATCTTCACAGTCATATTTTGGGGATGGCAAAATTAGTATAAAAATAGAGAATAAGTACTATTTCCATTGTTGAAAATATAGTTGGATTCTTTATTACATTAAAAAAAAAATCTTTTCTATAGCCTATTATAACTTTATTTCTTTTCTATTTTAGGCTGGCAAAAGTTCGAGAAAATACTGTTGCTTCCTTAAGAAATGCTGCTAGTCATGTAAGTAACCTTTCTTTCATTAAACAACTTTGAACTGGTAAGGTGGAGAACTGAGGCTCAGAGGAGTGTTCTCCAGTTGTATTAGTAGTTGAAAAGGAGGAACATTGATGCTTCTTTTAAATGCATTTCTAAATGAAGAGCAAATATCTCTTTGTATTTAGATCCATGGTGCAGATTGGGATAGAAATAATTGCATCTTAAGCAACCTTTTTTGAGATAAGTTTTGAGCATTCAGGGCAAGAAAAATGTTCCCATTAATCATTGGTTTTCACTACTTGAATAATGTGCTTATAGAAGGGTTCGATGGTGACTTTATGAGACACTTTTTAAAAAGTATATCAGTTTTTACCCTGCATATCAATTTGATTACATTAAATTTCTTAACTCCTTTTATCCATTCATGAGTTAGAGTATGTTTTTTAGCTTTGAGTATTTTCAACAAGTGCAACTTGGCATTTTTAATCAAGAATCTGGGATTTTTTCCCCCTGTCCCCCTGTGTTAAACTAGGGGAAAAATGGAGGAATGTCTCATTCTTTTATTTCCACTTTTTCCACAGTATCCTCCACATTTCTTAAACTTTGCCTTTTTAAAAATAGTTCAAGTAAACTCGGTTAGTCGGGTATTTAACTTTATCACTTAGGAGCTAACGTCTATTCTAAAACACACTTTTTCTGGTCCTGTCTCTTGCCTTCAGTAGGTTAGGTGACAAAATCTCCATCTTACACAGAGTTCAAGTTCATCACAGAGGCCAAGGTCATCAATTCAGATCTCAAAATTAAACAGTAATGTTCAAGGTTTACATTGTGCCACATTTAAATCATGTTAGGTTTATTTTTTTTTTATTTTTATTTTATTTTATTTTTTTAAAGATGACCGGTAAGGGGATCTTAACCCTTGACTTGGTGTTGTCAGCACCACGCTCAGCCAGTGAGCGAACCGGCCATCCCTATGTGGGATCCGAACCCGGGGCCTTGGTGTTATTAGCACCGCACTCTACCGAGTGAGCCACGGGCCGGCCCAGCTAACGTCTATTCTAAAACACACTTTTCTTGTAATTTAATCTCTCTGAAACTGGAATTGGTTTTACAATTTAGCTTTGAGTCATGGTTTAATTGGCAGTTTTTTCTGCCTTTCTTATAACATCTTAAAGTGATAATAGTAATTATTTAATGTTTGACAATATTAATAGTAGATAGTTTTTGTTTTGTCTTCATATTCGTCAGTTTTCTGTGCTTATAACAGAATACCTGAAACTCGGTGACTTGTGAATAAATGAAATGTATTATAGTTTTGAAGGTTGGAAAGT